TGGATCCCGGCTGTGCTTCTGCTCCCCACAAGTGAGGAACGGCAGCCCCAGGCTCAGAGCCAGCCAGAAAGCCAACCAAGGGAGAGCAGAGGCAGGGCACCCTTCCAGTCTCTCTTGGGCATGGCCACAAATCAACCCCTGCTGCTTCTTCCTCCGCCTGTGTTTGGGCTGTGCTGGTGGCAGAGCCAGCCAGGTTGGGCTCTGTGTTCCAAAGCCTGTTGGGAGCGGGCATGAAAAGCGCTGTGTGCACAGCAGATAGACCTGGAAGGTGCTGGCAAGAGCCTCCTGTGGGGACACGGCTCTGGGCTCTGTATGGGAACAGCCTGGTTTGGTGCTGTGAGCACAGGCAGGAGCTGAGGCAGGTGAAGAGGCCATGGGCAGCTTGTGTTTGTAGAGGGCCTGGGGCTGCACCTCTGAACCTCCACCTGGACACACACTTGGGGGAATATGAGCTAGAGCTGGAATGCCTGTCCTGAAAGGACCTGGAGTCATTCAGCCTTGCCAGCTTTTCTTAAGGGTGTGTTGGTGTTCCCCAGGAAAGCCACACATTTGGGGAAATGCCTTTGGAGAAAAGGGGCTTGCTTCTCAAGGAAAGTGCTTCCCAGGGAGCTCCCAGTGAGGCAGGTGTGAGTGTCCCCCTTTGGCTCTCTCTGCTCCTTTCAGTCCTTAAGGCCCCTTGCACCTGGCAGAGGAGCAGGGCAAGGGAGAAGGCAGTGAAGAGCAGGTTTGGCATCCGCCTGGACCTGCGGAGACCAAGCCAAGCACCTGCAGCAGGGTGTGTTCCTCCCCTTTAGACAGAAGTGTCAGCAGGAGCATCTCTGTCCAGCCATGAGCCCCAAAGCTCTCTGTGAGAGCTGTGAATTAAAAGGCCTTTATGCACACACTTTTCACATCTTTCCTGTCTGCTGTGTTTCAACTCTTGGCAATATGCATTTGCCTGCTGCTTGGTGGGAGCTGCTGTGGCCCAGGGCCAGCACAGAGCTGGGCTGTGTGGGCCAGGCAGCGAGGAGAGCCTTGGCTGATCTTGGTGCGTTCCTGGCCTCAGAAAATCTTGGAAGGTTTTCCTCCCCAGGCGTCCTGCTCATTGGCTCTCCCTGTACATCTTGGAGAGAATAAGGTGGGCATTTCTGACAGCTGGGCTTTAAAATGGGAGCGTGTGGTGGAGTGAGCCCAGCTGAGATCCCCTGAGAGCAGCCCAGTGCTCCTTGCTCCTCTCTGCTGAGCCGGGAGCGTTTGTCTGCTTTCGGGATGGCCCTGGCTGTGTCAGGGCTGCTCCATGGACACGAGACAGCCGGTCCTGTCCCGCTGGGTCCCAGCAGTGCCTGGCAGCAGCCCTGCACCCACGTCAGGATGCTGGCCAAGGGAGGCCCTGGAAGCTGAGGCAGCTGATTTGAAGCTTTTGCAGATCCACACAGGGGATGGCCAGCAGCGTTCCCTCAGGATACAGCAGTCCTGAGGGGCCTCCCCAGAGCTGCCTGATGCTGCCCACTCCTTGTGGCACCAGTTGCTTTCCTGTGGGATGTTCTACCTCCCCCAGGAGTAAAGAAGGAGCTGGAGAAAGAGCTGGCCAGGCTGCTCTGTGTGGAGGAATGGCTACATGACAGGGGCCACTTTCTGGACCAAGAATTGGGAGGATGCAGCTAATCTGGGTCTCTGCATTTGCAAAACACTGTGTCCTTGAGCATAGCTGTGGTACAATAACAAGCAGTGAGAGAGACATGAGAAAAGAAAGATGTAATCCCTAAGGTATGAGGAAGAGCTGATATCGTATTATAGCCAATAGATTGCTTAGCTTGCAGAATATGTATCAGCTTATTACTTGTTGTGCATAAAAGTCTGATGCTCTCTTCAACAAATGAAGCTTGCTAAACACTCATATTGAGCATCCAAGTTTCCCTCACCGTGACAAATGGCCCCCGAACAGGGACCCTACAGAGGGCTTGAACCTGCGAGCCACGGTCCGGTGCAGTATTCCGTGTCGGTCCCGATGCAGCACGGGAGGCAAAAGAGCGGGCTCCGCATCCCTGAGCGACCTTAGAGAAGGGTCTGGGCCGGCAAAAGAGCGGGGTCCGTGTCCCTGAGCGACCTTAGAGAAAGGTCTCGGCTGACTAAGCGCCCTGACGTCTTGCAAGGGCTCCAACAGCGCTGACAACTAAATTAGAAGGTAATGGAGAGACAAGCGGCATATGACCTTTTAAAATGCTTTTTACAAAAGCGGGGATTACAGGGTATTGACCTGGGAAAACAGTACCAGGCAGAGCAGAAGGCTGCTCAGGCAGCCGCCGCCGGATTGGGAATGCCTGTTTCTAGTGAGAATAGCGGGGCCTCAGCGTCTACATCCTCTTGTCCCCTGCCCCCCGCAACTAACACAGTGTATCTGCCGGCGGGGATGGCCTTCGCGCCAGCCGCCCGAGCCGCTCCTTCTGCACCTCCACTGGCAGCGAGGGATTGCCCCCCCCTCCGGCCGGCGGGGAAAGAACAAAGGAAATGCTTGACCCCGAGGCAGTGTGAATTGCTAATGAAAGGCGTAAGGCATGGCGAGAAATTACAAGAGAGGTGATAGCTGCAGGTGACCAAGCAGCTGCTGATGCCTTGCTTGAGGTGGCTTGGCCGGTGGTTTACGCACCAAATCCTGCCGGAGGCTTGCAAGCAACTTTCACTGCCTTAGATTGGAAATGGCTGGCACAGCTCCGTGCCACTGTGAGTGTGGTATCCACAGAGAGCCAACTCGTCAAATGCTCAATTATTTGTGGGGAGGAAACATACTGTTGCCATCGGATATTAAAAGCCTCATGAGGCTAGTGCTTACCCAGCATCAACAGTTGTTGTTTAATGCTCACTGGCAGGCTGCGTGCCAAGAGTCTGTGGCTACCCCGAGACAGCCAGGGGCTCCGCTATATGGAGTTACTTTAGAGGAACTTATGGGGATAGGGGCATACCTAAGGACGGAGGCGCAAGCATTAATTGGGCCCGAGAAGCTGAGAGAGGCTGTGAGATTAGCCCGTGTGGGGCTCGACAGGGTGAAATCCCCAGGGGGTATTCCCTCATACATGGGAATTAAACAAGGAAGAGAAGAGCCAATTGGGTTGTTTATTGACAGAGTGGCAAATGCTATTCAGACAGCAGGGGTCCCTGAATATATGCTCGGAGCACTACTAAAGCAATGTGCCCTACAGAATTGCAATCCCACCACTAGGGGTATACTTGCCACACTCCCTGGTACCTGGACTGTTGAGGAGGCTTTAGAATGAATGGCTCAGGTGCTGGTGGGGCTGCAGGCTATGTTAGTGGAAGCAGTAAGAGAATTGGGAAGTAGTTTCAGGGAGCAGGTGCAGGTGACGCAGAGTCAGGTGTTGGCTGCCCTTGCCCCCTTGCAAGCATCAGTGAACAAGTGGCGGCCCAGAGTCCAAGCGCCTTCCCAGCACAAGCGCCTCCTCCTTCCGCCCCACAACCAGCGGAAGCCTTGGGTTGGACCTGGCAACCTCAATAGACTGCACCTTAACAGACTGCAAAACGCAGCGTATCCCAATGGGGATTAAGGGCCCTGTTACAGCCAGCGGACAAACCGTGGGAGCTTTGTTGATTGGACGCTCATCCGCCAGCATGTCGGGACTTACTATTCTTGTTGGACTAATTGATGCTGATTATACAGGTGAAATACAAATAATGGCACAAACACTATTCCCACCGTTGTTTATTCCGGCTGGATCGTGAATTGCTCAATTAATCCCCTTGCCTCAATTAACCGGAGGGACTGTACCACTTGGCAAGCAGCAATGTGGTGAAGGTAGTTTTGATTCCACAGGAACAATGGCATTGTTAACAGTGGACTTAAAGCATCATCCTAAAAAACATATTGACATCCAGTATCAGGGTCAAACCATCACCCTGGTTGCGCTCCTAGACACCGGTGCAGACGTCAGCATCATAGGGACGCAGAAATGACCACCCCAGTGGCCCACCCAGGCGGCAAATGCCACAGTCGCAGGAGTAGGAGGACTCACGCTTACACGGAAATCCCCTCTGCTGAAAATTATTATAGAGGAAAAGACTGTAACCTGTACAGTTTCTGTAATACCACTCCCTGAGGGTGTCCACACCTTGCTGGGCCGTGATGTGTTGGCGCAGTTGGGAATGGTCCTTGCCACAGATCTTCCTTTATAGGGATGGCCATTGCATGGACTTTTCCGATCCCACTCCGATGGAAAACAGAGGACCCGGTGTGGGTTGAGCAATGGCCTTTAAAACGGGAAAGTCTCATTCAGGCACACAAGCTGGTGCAGGAGCAGTTTGACCAAGGACATCTCCTGTTGTAGTGCGTTTTTATATTTTGTAATACTTTGAAGTAGTTGGTTTTGTATCCCCATGTTTTTCCCAAATGGTTTATCCCAGACTGCATCCCCCCCCCTCCTTTTCCCTCTACTTGTGTTATCCCTTTCCTGGGATAAGACCTCCAAAACCCCCACCCTGGCTCTCTGCCAGTCACCTCGACATCCCAGCCCCCTACCTAGAAGTTTCGGTCCAAGTTGTCGAGTGATTAGCCAGGGGCCAAGGGTCAACCCCCCAAGTCCTGCCCCATACGCTGTTTTGTATGTCTGTCCCCCCAGCACGCATCCCCCAGAGATACCTATTGGTCAGTAGGATTTTATCTATGTTAGTTTCCTCCCCCCTTTAAATGTAAGCTCCGAACGTCCCCCAGTGCTCTCGGCAGGAGGACCCCCTGAGGTATAGGAGCTCCCTCGGGACTCCTTAATAAAACCTTGGAATACCCCCTGCTGGGAGTCGGCCCCTTTCCTCTTCCACCGACGTCTCGGTCGTCTCTGCTGCAGCGAAGGCAACCAGCCTGAGTGCCCTCAGCATCCCTCGGGGCACAGAGAGTGTCTCCCTGCAGTCGGCCGTGGTGGGGCTGCACCCCCCACTCTCTGCCGACCCGGGTAAGGCCCAGGGACAGTGAGAGGCTTGCAGAGAGACTGGGACAGCTTGGCGCCCAGCCGTGGGGCTCTGGAACCATTCCAGGAGCCCACGGAAAGGGGCTCGGACATACTTTCAGTCTGTTCGATAAGCCTTTGGCCGGCAAGCTACCTCGGAAGAACACACTCCGTTTTAGTGAGTTGCTCTCCTGTGGACGAAGCTGGGAGCTTCTTATGTACCCGAAGAAGTCAGCTTTAGGTGGAAATCAACAACCCAGGCTTTTTCGTTCCCCTCTCCTGCAGTTGGATTGGTAAGTTTTACCCTTCTCTTGTTTTTCCCCTCTTTGGGAGGGGGTGTTTCCCTGCCCTTTGTTCTCAGCCCCACCGCGGAGGGCTGAAGTTTTTTTTTTCTCTCTATTGTGGGCAGACTGCCAGCTGTAGGCTTTTTTCTCCTCCCCCCCCCCACCTGGGTTGCTGAAATTTGAGATACAAATTTAAAATCAGAGCCAAAATGGGTGCTAGGCTTTCTGTATCTCACAAGGGTGTCTATTATCATCTTTTAAACATTCTTAAGAGTGAAAAAATCCGATTTTCAAAAACAGAGGTTAAACAGTTCGTCAGATGGCTTTTCCTTCACTTCCCCAACGTGTCCACTGAAAATCTCAGTGATTTAGCTTTTTGGGACAAAATTGGTAGTGAATTATTGAAGGCAGGGAAAGCAGGAGACATATCTCCGTCAAAATTCGCTTTTTTAGCCCTGCAGATAAGAAATGTTGTAAAATTTAATTTAAAGACGCAAGAACAGCCATCCGGCAACAGTTTCAATATCTCTGTTTCACAAAAACCCGATCTACCCCCCTCCGAGTTCGGTTCTCCTTCCCCCACCCCCCTTCCCCCACCCCCAGCCCTTGCACAAACCCCTGCCCTCCCCCCGAGGCCCCCTGTCTCCAACCCGGACACTTCTGCCCTGAATTCCCGAAATCCCACCCTCCCCCCTGCTTCCCCAAGTTATAATACCGTGTCTCACAACCTTAGTGCCCGCCTTGGTACCCCTGAGACGCGCCCGGTAACTTCCCCGGACCATAATGGCGGACACCACGTGGCAATGGTGGTTTCCTCGCTTTCCCAGAATTCCTTTCGCTCTCCCAACAACCCATTCTGCTCGGAGCACCCCGCCCCCGAAACCCGCCCTCCCGCCCTTCCCCCGTCTCCTCCTCCGGCCCCTCCGGCCACTCCTCCGGCTCCTCCCGCCCCGGCCCCGGCCGCCCCCCCCGCTCTGGCCCCGGCCGGCCCCGCCCCCTCAGAGCTCTGCCCGCCCGCCGCGGGCTCCCTCCGCCCCCCCCACGGCCCGCCCCCTGGCCCTCAGACCAGTGTGATAAGAGACGCTGTCGCTGGGAGTCAGAACCCGGAAACAGCACAGTCCTTTTCTGCTGCCCCTGTCTCATATATCCCTGATTTAAACGGGGCATTCCAGCCAAATTATAGCCCCCTTTCTGTTGATTCTGTTAAAGAACTAGCCAAAGCCCAAAAAGATTTTGGGAGATCAAGTGAATATTTTAGAGGGCTCCTTAAAGCTACATTATTCGCTCACATTTTAACCCCTGCTGATATAAAACACCTTTTTTCCTGCCTGTTATCCTCTTCTGAATATCTCTTGTGGGAAGTTGCATGGCAAAAAGGATTGAGAGCGATTTTACCAGCTCTGTGGGCTGATGAAGCTACTGCTCGTGATGTTTATGGTAATATGTTATCCCTCGATCATCTCTGTGGACAGGGGGGTTGGGAAAACGCCGTGACCCAGGCAGAAAGCATTCCCACAAGGGCTTTCAGAGAAGGTGCTAGAGCAGCTGAGAAAGCTTTCTTTGGGCTCCGTCCTAGTATTCCAATTGAAAATTATTTGAAAATAACACAATCTCCATCTGAGTCCTTTTTGAGTTTTGTGGAAAGGTTGAGAAAAGCTGTTGAATTGCAAGTTCAGAATGAAGGAGCCAGGATGGAAATCCTCACCGAGATCGCTAAAGAAAATGCCAATGAGAAGTGCAAAGCTGCTATTCTCAGCCTGCCTCTTGACCCAACGCCTACGCTGCAGGCCATGCTTGAAGTGTGTGAGAGGAAAGTTACCATCACCCTGGCTGACCACGATGAGAGACCAAAACCACAGAGAAGGATTGCTGCAGTGGAAACCCCTGAGCCACCATTTACCAGCCAGCTCCAGCATGTCACGATGCCACAAGAGAGAATCTCCAGCTCTAATAGACCTTGCCATCTTTGTGGGAAGTTGGGGCATTGGATGCCTGGCTGCCCTCTCAAAAAGCAGTTTTTAGATTTTAAATACAATATGCTTAAAAACCAGAATTCCCCAAAGGACCACCTCTCAAAAAACTGAGTAAAGAGCGCTCCTTTCCCCAGCGCTATGACAAAAATAGGGTGGGCTCAATTCAAGTACGGGGGAGGGAAAAGAAATCTAGTGTAAAAGATGTACAGGTGCCAAGCGAGGCACTGGCTTTGAACAAAACAGAACACTCAGTTCATTGCAATAATCCCAGACCAATTTTAACCACTGACTCTTCCCATAATCCTTACAGGCTGGCGTTGACTGAACCTCTCCATCTCAGAGACACTAACTGGCATTTCATATCTGTTAACCCTGAACAACCAGGTACTTGGACACAGCTTTGCCAGAAGCGTCACAGTAAGTATGTCGTCCTTGGGGACACAAAACACACACCCCAAGAAATTATTATTCCTCCGGGTCTCATATCATCAGACCCGAAACAATTTGTCATATGGCTTCACTGTACTCATCCACCCGTGTACTTGCCCAAAGGCCAAATCATAGCCCAAGCCATCCCAGTACCTGAGCCTCCATGGGACCAGGAGCAAGCAAACACCCTCAGAGGTAAACTCCTTCCCAATGTCTGCTGGACTCAGGTATTGGGAAGAGAAAAACCCAAGCTATCATGTGGCTTACACCGTGGTGGTGAGTACAAGTCCATACAAGGACTTTTAGATACTGGAGCAGATGTCACGATTATTCCATCTAAAGAGTGGCCATCACACTGGGAATTGCAAAACGTAGCAGGACACGTGCAAGGTGTAGGGGGAATTCAATTGGCAAGACAGTCAAAAAACGTTGTTCAAATTGAGGGACCCAATGGCAAAATAGCTTCCATTCGCCCGTTTGTTTTAGACTACACAGAGCCCCTCTGGGGCAGAGATTTAATGGTTCAATGGGGAACCACAATTGACATCCCAGAAAACCCGCAGGTTTTTCGGGGAGCGGTCGCTGAGGTGCGCCATGCCCAAAAATTGATTTGGAAAACTGATACTCCAATAAGGGTAGTTCAGTGGCCGCTCAATAAAACCAAATTAAAGGCGCTTGAAGAACTTGTACAAGAGCAGTTAGAAAAAGGTCACATTGTGGAGACCACGTCGCCGTGGAATTCGCCTGTCTTTGTCATTAAAAAACCAAACAAAGACAAGTGGAGACTACTCCATGACCTCCGTCAAATCAACAACGTTATTGAGGACATGGGGTCCCTACAACCAGGAATGCCCTCACCAAGCATGCTTCCACAAAATTGGTCTTTAGCTGTAATTGACATCAAAGATTGTTTTTTTCACATTCCCCTACATCCTGACGATGCTCCGCGTTTTGCCTTCTCGGTTCCCACCATTAACCTGGAGGCCCCAATGAAGAGATACCATTGGACGACCCTCCCTCAGGGACTGAAAGTCAGTCCTGTGATTTGCCAGAGGTATGTCTCTTCCTTGTTGTCTCCAGTCCGTGAAGCTGCAGGAGATTCCATCATCCTGCACTACATGGATGACATCCTGGTGTGTGCCCCAAGTGATGACATGCTTACTCACACACTTGACCTGACAATCAATGCATTGGTTGCTGCAGGGTTCGAGCTCCAAGAAGAAAAGATTCAAAAGATGCCACCTTGGAAGTACCTGGGCCTTGAAATTGGAAAGCGGACCATTGTGCCGCAAAAATTGACTATCAAACATGATATCAAAACCTTAGCGGATCTCCATCAACTTTGTGGATCCTTAAATTGGGTGAGACCTTGGCTAGGCATTTCCACCGAAGACCTAGCCCCCCTTTTCAATTTGTTAAAAGGGGGAGATGACCTTAGTGCTCCTAGGACCCTCACCCAGGAAGCGAAAACCGCACTGGAGAAAGTTCAGGAAATCATGTCTACTAGACAGGCCCACAGGTGCCAGCAGGGTCTCCCCTTCAAATTTATCATCTTAGGCAAACTGCCACATCTCCATGGTATGATTTTTCAGTGGGAAACTGTCCAGGCAAAGAAAAAGGACCAGGTCAAGAAAGATCCCCTCTTAATTATAGAGTGGGTTTTTCTCAGTCACAACAGGTCAAAAAGGATGACAATGCCACAAGAGCTGATGGCAGAATTGATCCGGAAAGCAAGGATACGGATCAGAGAATTGGCAGGGTGTGATTTTGACTGCATTTACATTTCCTTAAACCTGAAATCAGGCCATTTGTCTCAAGCAATGCTAGAGCAATTTTACCAAGAGAATGAAGCCTTGCAATTAGCCCTAGATAGCTACACAGGCCAAATTTCAATTCACAGACCGGCCCACAAAATTTTCAACTCAGATGTTCAGTTTTCATTATCACTGACAAGTATTCAGAGCAGGACACCTCTAAAAGCACTGACAGTTTTTACTGACGCGTCTGGTGCGTCTCACAAGTCAGTGGTAACTTGGAAAGATCCCCAAACTCAACAGTGGGAAGCAGATATTGCCAAGGTGGAAGGATCACCCCAAATTGCTGAGTTGGCCGCTGTAGTCAGAGCTTTTGAGAAGTTTCCTGAGCCTTTAAATGTAGTTACTGATTCAGCTTATGTTGCAGGTGTAGTGTCTAGGGCAGAGAATGCTGTGTTGCAAGAAGTTTCCAACATTCCTTTATATGAATTACTTTCTAAGTTAGTAAGAATTATTTCTTGCCGAGAACACCCATTTTATGTGATGCATGTTAGGTCACACACAGACCTGCCGGGGTTCATTGCAGAAGGTAACCGGAAAGCTGATGCCCTTGCGGCTACAGCCAAGATGGCCCCGCTCCCAGAGGTATTCCAACAAGCAAAGATCAGTCATCAATTTTTTCATCAGAATGCACCTGCCTTAGTTCGGCAATTCCATCTGAAGCACAAACAAGCCCAGGCCATCGTAGCCACCTGCCCTTCTTGTCAAAATCAGTCACTACCTACCTTAAGTGCAGGTGCAAACCCTAGGGGCTTGCAGAGCTGCGAAGTGTGGCAGACAGATGTAACCCACATCCCATCATTTGGCAGATTTAAATATGTCCACGTCTCCGTGGATACCTTTTCTGGTGCCATCTATGCTTCTGCCCACACAGGGGAGAAAGCCAGTGAGGTAAAGAAGCATTTCATGCAAGCCTTTTCCACATTAGGAATCCCTAAGGTCATCAAAACAGACAATGGCCCAGCGTACAAGTCCAAAGACCTTCAGAGCTTCCTGCAGCAATGGGGAATAGAACACAAAACAGGCATCCCCTATTCCCCGACAGGCCAAGCTGTGGTGGAGAGAGCCCATCAGAATCTAAAAAAGGTTCTTCACCGGCAACGTGAAGTGATGAAAACAGAGACCCCTCAAATCCAGCTGTCCAAAGCGCTGTTCACACTGAACTTTTTGAACTGTACCTTTGAAAACCTTAACCCACCTATTGTAAGACATTTTAACGAGAACAGTCAGCACAAATTAAAAGTCCGTCCGCCAGTCCTCATAAAGGACCCTGAAACTTGGAAAATAGAGGGGCCCCATGAGCTCGTAGTCTGGGGTAGGGGGTATGCGTGCGTATCCACTCCCTCAGGCTTGAGATGGATCCCCTCCAGGTGGGTGAGACCGTACATTCCTAAGGTGTCAAAGGACAAAGCTGCAACACAGGTAGCCAGTGCCTGCTGGAGGAGGAAGCGCCGTCAGACTCTTTAAAGTTAAATCGTTGTTACCTGGACCTCATCCCTAACACTTTTTATTTTCAGTTTTAGTGTTTTCCTTTGATCTGAACTCAGCCCTGGTGTCATCAGAATGAGCCCCATCCTTCCGTTGCTTCTGTTGACAGCCGTCCATCCAGGTCAGATGTGGATCGTTCCACAACCCCAAGCAAATGTGTGGACCACCCTCGCCAGAGTCCTCAACCAAGACCACATTTGCCTGTCAACCTCTTCTGTGTCTGACCCGATGTCCACTTGCCTTGTGGGGATCCCATCCAAATATGATGAGTTTCCGCCAACATTAGCTGCTCCCCTTCCCCCAGTATATAATCCGTTATCCCCTTGGTCAAAATTAATTGATAGACAAGCAGTAGCAGAAAAAGAACCCCAAGAATTTGAACTCCTTGGTTCTGCCAAGGCATTCTATTGTGTTCAGTTTACGTTTACACCAAAAGATCAAGTAGATTTGTACCATGAAGTCAAACAGTTTAAAGTGAATTATACAGCAAAAATTTGGTGTAAGAAAATTTCCCAAGTAGGAATACCTTCTACCCCTGATAATAAGCCCCGTGCCCTTCCTAAGGGGTTTTTCCTCATTTGCGGGGACAGGGCATGGGCAGGCATCCCCTCTCGTCTAATCGGAGGTCCATGCACCATTGGAAAGCTGAGCCTGTTTACACCCAACAAAACCCAAATCATGGATTGGCAAACCAAAACCAACACCCGCAATTCGGCCCGCAAAAAGAGAGATTTAAGGAACCTGGACCCAAATTGCGATTCTGAAATTGTACATTGGTCCAAACCAAAAGGAGTTGCGATCACCGTGTTTTTGCCATGGGTGTCTGCAGCCAAAGCTCTAGGCGAATTATCACATCTAGAGTGTTGGGTTGCTAAACAGGCCAATATTACATCAGCTGCACTTTCAGACCTCCTGGCAGACGATGAAACAACAAGGCAAGCCACCCTACAAAATCGGGCTGCAATTGATTTTCTCCTCTTGCTACATAATCATCGTTGTGAGGAGTTTGAAGGTCTCTGTTGCCTGAATCTGTCATCCAAAGCTGAAAATGTCCACAAAATCATTGGGAAGATGCAACAAATGGTCCAAGACATCAAGCAAGAGACAGCGGACTGGATGGATGGACTCTTTCAGGGATGGGGACTCTCGGGCTGGGTCAAATCCATTTTGAAATCTGTATTTTTAGTTTTGCTTGTTCTTCTTGTTATTTTGATCAGTTTTGGGATCATCAAGAGCATTGTGACCAAACTGATCTCGAAAGCTATTTCCCCTTTAGAGGTCAATCAGGTGACTGTTCCCACCTCTTCTGAGGAAGGGACAGAAACCTCTGCAGAATTTACAAAACAGCCTTGGTTTGCTGATGATTGATAGCACTCCGAGCTGAAATTTAATGTTTAGGTGCCTCTTCCTTTTTTATTTAAACGAAAAGAGGGAGATGTTGTAGTGCGTTTTTATATTTTGTAATACTTTGAAGTAGTTGGTTTTGTATCCCCATGTTTTTCCCAAATGGTTTATCCCAGACTGCATCCCCCCCCCTCCTTTTCCCTCTACTTGTGTTATCCCTTTCCTGGGATAAGACCTCCAAAACCCCCACCCTGGCTCTCTGCCAGTCACCTCGACATCCCAGCCCCCTACCTAGAAGTTTCGGTCCAAGTTGTCGAGTGATTAGCCAGGGGCCAAGGGTCAACCCCCCAAGTCCTGCCCCATACGCTGTTTTGTATGTCTGTCCCCCCAGCACGCATCCCCCAGAGATACCTATTGGTCAGTAGGATTTTATCTATGTTAGTTTCCTCCCCCCTTTAAATGTAAGCTCCGAACGTCCCCCAGTGCTCTCGGCAGGAGGACCCCCTGAGGTATAGGAGCTCCCTCGGGACTCCTTAATAAAACCTTGGAATACCCCCTGCTGGGAGTCGGCCCCTTTCCTCTTCCACCGACGTCTCGGTCGTCTCTGCTGCAGCGAAGGCAACCAGCCTGAGTGCCCTCAGCATCCCTCGGGGCACAGAGAGTGTCTCCCTGCAGTCGGCCGTGGTGGGGCTGCACCCCCCACTCTCTGCCGACCCGGGTAAGGCCCAGGGACAGTGAGAGGCTTGCAGAGAGACTGGGACAATCTCCGGTTATCTGTTAGTCCTTGGAGTGCTCCTGTTTTTGTGATCAAGAGGAAATCTGGCAAATATCGTCTCCTGCATGATCTACGTGCCATCAATGATCACATGCATAGTATGGGAGCCCTGCAGCCCGGATAGCTCAGTCGGTAGCTTTCTGGCTCCAGGGGTGACAGCAGCAGGCACCCATGCCACCCTAAATAAGTTGGGATGCTGGCCTGCGAAGCAAACCAATGCCACTTCTATGGCACTTTCTAGCCTTTTGCTTGATGTTGATTCTATTTGCCATGCAACGCTTCAAAAAAGAGCTGCAATTGATTTTCTTTTGCTTGCACAAGGCCATGGTTGTGAAGAATTTGAAGGCATGCGTTGCATGAACCTTTCTGACCATTCGCAGTCCATCCATTTCCATCTCTGAGTTGCAGAGGTTAACCGGAACCCTACAGGTAGAATCGGGCTTTGGTATTGATGGATGGCTCAAATCTTTAGGCCTGGGATCATGGCTACGCTCGATTGTTAAGGCTGGCATTATAGTAGGCATTATAGTTTTGTTGGTAGTATTAGTTTTGCCTTGCTTTTGCATATGCTTACAAAATATGGTGCAAAGGATGATTTCTGCTGCATTTAATCAAACATTGCTTGTGCAAAAATAAAACAGGGGAATTGTGGAGGAATGGCTACGTGACAGGGGCCACATTCTGGACCAAGAATTGGGAGGATGCAGCTAAGCTGGGTCCCTGCACCTGCAAAACACTGTGTCCTTGAGCATAGCTGTGGTACAATAACAAGCAGTGAGAGAGACATGAGAAAAGAAAGATGTAACCCCTAAGGTATGAGGAAGAGCTGATATTGTAGTATAGCCAATAGATTGCTTAGCTTGAAAAATATGTATGTGCTTATTGCTTGTTGTGCATAAAAGTTTGATGCTCTCTTCAATAAATGAAGCTTGCTAAACACTCATATTGAGCATCCAAGTTTCCCTCAAAGTGTCTCAAGGCATGCATGGGGCCCACTGCGGTCCATCCCCAACACAGGCTCCTCATGGACGCCTTGGAGGTCAGAATTGGAGGCCAGGATGGCTGAAAAACCTCTCAGAGACTAGGTGTGGAAAGGAAAATCCAAAGTACCTTAAACCTTGAGTATCTCAAGGCATTAATGAGCACCACTGAGTGTCAGTACAAAGCTCTCCAGGGACTCATTAAAGCAGATAATTGGGGCCATGATTGCACAAACCTCTCACAGAGTCTGTATCAAAAGGGAAACACCAAGTACCTTAAAAAACTGAAGTACCTTGAAGTATTAATGAGCCGCACTGAGTGTTGTTACTGACAAAGCCTCTCCAGGTATTAATTACAGCAGATAATTGGAGGCCATGATTGCACAAATCTCTCAGAGACTCCAAGACAAAAGAAAAACCTGAAATCCTTTGAAAAACCTGCAGAGAGGCTCCCGGCACAGAGGCAGCTCCTGGCAAGGGCAGCGCTTCAGAGAGACAGCTCTGGCCAGGAGCAGCTCCTGTGCACAGCCCAGCAGGGCTGGGGCACTGCCTGCAGCCAGCCCGGGCACAGCACAGAGGCACAGAGGGGTTAAACTCAGCCAGGGCTGGGAGCACAGAGCAGAGCTCACGCAGGGCTCGCTAGAGCAGAAATCAGCCCAGGTTTGAAGCAGTCATTCCCTGGCTGTGGGAAGAGAAGCTGCAGTTCCTGCAGGGATCTCCTGGAGCTGGCACATCCCACAGCTTTTAGGACCTTTCAGGAGGACTCTCAGAGCTGCTCCAGGGCAGGGCTGTGGCCCCAGGGCAGGGCTGGCTTTCCCTGCTGCCCCAGCCCAGGCACAGCCCAAGGCAGCTCCTGTTGCCAGGCTCTGCTGCAGGGCTGAGCAGCCGGGGCTGCAGCCAGGGGTGTCCAGGGCTGTCGTGCAGAGCAGGGTCCTGCAGCCCAGGGCGCTGTGCTGGGGCAGGGACTCTGCTGCCTGCCAGGGACAGCTCTCAGCCAGCCCTGGCAGCTGCTCCCAGCGCTGGGGAGAAGCTCTGGGGGGAAGGAGCCACCCTGAGCAGGGCAGGGGCTGCTGCTGAGAGGGGCTGGGTGGGGCAGGGCTGCTCCCAGCTCCAGACCAGCCTGGGCTCAGCTCCGGAGGGCACTTCCCAAAGAAGGTAAGCCAGGGATTGCTGTAAAGATCAGGAGCTTTCCTGAGAGTGTTTTCAATTTCTTTCTTGGAGAAGGATGGGAAAGTTGGGGTGATGACAAAGATTTTTGCTTTTTTTACATTTTTATATATTCATAGCTCTGTAAATTAATATTATATGGTTATAAAACTATAATCCTTACTTTATTCTATTAAACTCTTAACTAACTCGATAAAGCTACTATTATATACTTTTATAACTATAATAATTAATTAACTCAAGTACGCTTCCTAACCATTCTCTTAGATTTTAGAACAATAAGCTGATGATCAATGTTCCTGAAATACTTTCTTATTATCAGTCTTATTATCAAATAGTCTTATTATCAGGAAGAGAACCTACAAGAACATTTTGGTTTTTCACCAGAATGTGAGCAGTCATAACCAAAATTTTTGGCAAAGAAGCCTTTGGACCTATTTCAACGGGTTGAGCCAGGGGTGTGTAACCAGGGCAACTAAATCTCCTATTGGATGTTCCTGTTAAATTTCCTAATTAATCAACCTTAATAAATTGCTGAAATCAGGGGCCGGGTGTGCCCCTTCCCCACTGGGACACCTGAAAGCTTCCAATTAATGTCTGGTTTTTACTTTACTGTTCTTACACTGTTGCAAGGGTTTTTTTTCTCTTTGGATTATAGACAACAGGGGGATGAGAGAAGTAGAACAGGAATTGTAATCCCAGAATGACAGAACATTCTGAGTTGAAAGGGACACACAGGACCATCAAAGTAATGTTTGAACTTTTACAGGGACTGCAGAACTGTAAATTGAGTTGATCAGTGTCTCTGCTGGGAGCCTCCCAAAGGACCCTCAGCCACTCCTCAGCCCTGCACAGCAGCAGCATCACCTTTGCAGGGCCCAGCAGGGCTCTCCTGAGCTGCCCTTGCCCAGCTGCACACAGAGCCTGCCCCAGCCAGGGCCCTGCACACGGGCAGGTTTCTGTA